AGTTCAATCGGGCGATTGAACTTCAGTCGGGCAATGGTCTTACGAGGTGTTATTCCAGTTAGGGGCCTGCTGATTCTACTACTGACTGTACCCCTTCCATTCTACTACTGATTATACCCCTTCCCCGCCCATGGCCCACGACTTCTCCAGCTATACAATTCCATTCCCACTATTTCTTATATAAAGGAGAAGAGGCGTGGGTACATGGGGGGGGACCATATATATATATATGTATGTTGTGCAGGATACCACAAGCATCATCTTGTGCGCAGGCAACTCAGAGCGCATGCCCGAGCTCTAGCTCCCTTCTTGCCGGGCAGCAATACATACCTGGTTCTGCGTGTTGATGGAAGAAATCCCCTGCAGAAACATTCTATGGTCCAGGGCTTCCTCCATTAAGAGTCACTGAATCTTTCCTGGACTTGGAGGCTAAAGGGTTTAGGGTCTAGATGGTTTAGGGTTCTAGATGGTTTAAAGTTGAAGATTTAGGGTTTAAGGCTTAAGGTTCCGCTGTACTCCTCCACGATAACGCCCTTTTAGCATTTTGTTGTGATCATGTCGGGCACTCTGCTCCGAAAACCATACAAACCGAAACTCTAAACATGAAAGCCTACAAACCTAATGTCTAAATCCCAAAGCTCTGAAAGCCTGAATCCCCAAAGCCTGAACTCAGCTTCCATTTCATTTCCCATTGTCTTTCCATCGGATTTGCCGCTCTTGTGGTAATGAGCCCTAGAAATTTGAATCATGAATCCTAAGCTCCAAAATACTTCCTATGTAACCCTATATGATCCCTATATACCTCATTTATCCCTATGTTCCCAAAAGCTCTCAACACCACACCTTGCCTCCCTCTCGGGAGACGGGGGCCCACCCCAGCCAGCCACTTCGAGCCAGCGGCATTCAAGTCATAAACCCTAAACCCTAAACCATAGAGGATTTATGGGTAGAGTTTAGGGCTGGTATTGCTGACCCTGCTTTACGGTTCTAGGTTCGTGTTTCGTGTTTCGTTGCTAAGCCCATGTTCTGTTTTCAAGACGACAGCAAATAACAGGAAGGCCATGCCTGGATACCCTAGACCCTAAACCCTAAAACATTTAACCCTAAATAATGGTTTCCATTCTATTTTCCATTATCCCAACATAACCCAACCCAATCCTAATATATACCCCAGTATGTACCCGATAATCCTTATAGTTTCAATTTCTTTTCAATTATCCCTATATAACCCCAAGTTAGCCCCATGCTGGGCATAGCCCGCCTCAACCGATGACGAAGCCTAAAGTTGCATCAAGCATCCTACTTCGAGGCACGGATTCCTTCAGCTAAATTGGCACATTTTGGAGTCCCCGGAAGATTCCATGAGTAGTTTAGGGTTTTATGGGTTTAGGGTTTAGGGGTCCCTTGTTGAAAGTATCACGCCCTGAACCCTAAAACCTAAGCCCAGCCCCCTAAACCTTTGATCTAAAACCTGCTGGAGATCAGCCCAAGCTGCAGTGAGGGAGTGGATCGGATCCCTACAAGGGTTCAGGATTTATGATTTGGGTTTTTAGGGCTTAGGATTTGGGGTTTAGGGTTTAGGGCTTGGGGACAATCATCCCTGGATAGTCCCCATCTCGTTCTATGATGGTACCTACACTCAAACTCTGCCACTCTTCTTAAGCATCTGGCACCACAAAAGTCTTACACTCTCAACCCTACACCGCCAGCTCCAAGCCCCAAACCATAAATCCCGAATCCTAAACCCTGAATCCCAAATCCTCAGCCTTGATATTGAGCCCAAAGGCTCACAGCTCTTAATACTTCAAAAGACATTACAATGTAGCACAAACCCTAAATTCCGCGCAGCCCTGGAAGAAATCGTAATTTCAAGTGGTTTTTTGGATTGTAGACAACAGAGATGAAAATGTACAACAGCCCATACCCTGCATGAAATCACACCCTGGTTGTGTGCAATGCAGCTCGAAGGCCCAAGGACAATCATAAGTTTTGGGTTTCCAGTTTAGGTTTTTGAAATTAGCGAGTTAGTTGTTTTGTGTTCACGGTTTCAGTTGAAAGTGCCATTGCCCGGCCCTTCCCTTATCACGTGCAGCGCCTACAAAACCTGTAGTCCACTTGTGGCTACCTTCCAACCTGCAGGTGACCATTATCTTGCCGATTACATCCGCAGAAACTCATGACCTTACCCTGAACCTCAGGCCCTAAGCTTAAAACCTGAAAACCCCAGACCCTAACCCCTAGACCCCAAACCCCAAATCCTGAACCCTCACCCTAAACAACACAATAACCATCCAAGTGCAGTTGCTGGCAGCCTGCGTACCCTCACAGCCTGGCCACCTCCGGAAACTGATCGGATCCTAGGAAGCAGCAGAAACTAGGGATATAGAGTATTGTCTAGTATGGTATAGTATGGTGTAGCATGGTATGGCATAGAAAAGTTTAATATAGTATACAATAATATACCACAATAGCACAGTATAGTTTAGTATAGGCTTTAGGATTCAGGGTTCAGAGTCAGAGCTTCGAGCTTAGCATTAGGAGTTAGCGTTTGGGGTGTAGAGCTCAGGGTTCTGGATTCATGTACAGACCTACATGACTGAAATGGGACTTTGAATATTAACTTCTTAGCATTTTATTGAACTTTATTGGGTCATGCAGGCACAATATTCCAGACTTTTTAGGCGTGTACGTGTCATCCTCAATCTTCGAGTGGATATCCCTGTGTTGCACAACGGAACTGACAAAAGAAGCCAGTCGAGCTCGCTTCTTTTTATCTCGATTGGGACGCCGCGAATCACCCCTTGCGGTCGGATCGAACCCATCTCGACTTTGAGCGTGAAGCCGGTGGGTTTCCTCGAGGCGGACCACTCAAACGGAGCAGGGCGGGACTTATTGCCCCAGGTCAGTCCTTGGGTTCCGCCCTGCTTCCCTGTGCGTTCCTTGGAAGGAAACGGGACTGGCCGTCCGGGAAAACCAGTATCACAAGTCTCGAGCCCAATCGAGTTTGGAAAAGGAATGCAGAGTAGGAATTGAAAATCCGGTTGGCGGCGGGACATATTTTCCTCCCAGCGAATGAACTACTTGATAGTCCAATCTGCTGGGCCCGTCCGCTAAATTGGATTTTGACTCTACTCTGTCGATGTAGACATCGAGACCCGCAGCTGCGGCTTTCAGCCAATAGTCGCCCACAAGCGGCGAAGAGTCCACCTGGGGGCTATAACCTTTGACCAAACAGGCAGCTGCAGAGTCATTGTCGATGAAATGGAAAAGCTTGGTGTGGCGAAGAACGGCGGGCCAGGTTGCAAGAGCAAGAGGTCCCGCCAAAAGTTCTAGCTGTCCCATGTATGATTGCCGGTGAGCCCATGTGGCTACAAGGTCAGGAGGAAGTACCAGTGAGGTGTATTCCATCCTTTCTCTCATGGCCCCATAAAGAAGAACTGCTCCCAGGACGAATCTGCCCCCTCGGCGTTCTGGGACGTCAGAGGCATCCGTGTAGAGAATCGGACGCGGCGTGTCGTTCGACATTTGAACCGTTCTTGGAGGAGAAAGGTTCACGAACTCCATCATCAGCTGTAAGCTGGCTCGAAGGTTTGGGTCGATGGAAAATAGGGGTGAAACAGAATACTGTCTGTCTCTGACGGACTTAGTACAACATCGACCGACTTTGCCGAAAAGACTACTGCAAAGGAAGCCGAACTTGCCGACTATGCTGCCAGCTAAGGAGGGAGTTAGCTCTCCTTGCGACAAGACGGCTCGAACCATCTTGCAGAAATTAAGCTTCCGTGAAGGTTTGGCTTCGACAAGGAAGTGCTTCTCAGCGGCCAGGGCTTGGGTGTTGAACGCAACTCCCAAAACATGGCAAAATTCCGCCGGAGGCTGTGATTTCTTGCCATCGATGTCGAACCCTACGAGCCTGAAGACTTCCCAGACGCAGAAGAGGGCAAGACGCTCTTCAGAAGGGCGACACGTCTAAAAGAAATCATCGAAGAAATGGTCGATAAGAAGGTGGAGGGCCCGAACCAGGGGCCTGGACAGCCATTCAGCCACGCGGTAGAAGTTCGGGACTGCATGGCCTGCTCCGAATGGTTGTCCGTAAATCTCAAACAGCTTTGCCTGTTTGTTTGCGGGGTCGTACACCGCAGTGATGGAGATGGAGACTTGCCTGTCGGGCAGAGGAATCTGCCTATAGGCTCCCTTCATGTCCTCGGTTCCTACACAGGCGCCCTCCTTGAAAGGTCTCCTGCAGGGAACGGATCATGATTGCCAGGTAGTCGACGTTGGCCATCTCTATCTTTTGAGTGCGATGTGCAGCGGAGTTGTTCAGGCAAGCTGAATGGTCATCGATACGGCGAAACTTTGGTTTGCCGGATTCGTCGACCCCTTGTTGGTTTTGGCACCACATTAAAGAAACTGCCGTGCCTGTTCTGGACGTCTTCCAGGGTGAACGGTCCAGCCATGGAACCCTCGGCAACTTCCTTAACAGTCTTGTCCCAGATGGCCGCTGCGGTTTGCTCGCCGGATGACCCGGCCATCCGCACAACACGATTCATCATGGTAGTCCTGTGCTTTTTGGACAGACTGAGAAGTTCTTTGACGGATATGGTCGCTGGCACGTCGTGTTCGAAGAAGAAAGGTGAGGACAGGGCTTTGCCCACTATGGGCATGCCCGTCAGGCACAGAGAGGGGACCGATGTATCTTCGATCCCATAACGGTCTTGCAATATCTCCATGAGAGCGGTCCTCGGTTTCCTCCCGAGCTTAAGGGCGCTGACGGAAGCGAGTTTCTCATGGATGCCCTGCTTGTCGCGAACTTCCGCGCACTCTGAGAGCTGTTTTATCTCACCCAGTGTTTTCAATCGACGCTTTGGCAGGCTCATTCGGAGGGATGACATGTAATCCAAAGCCTCCTGATGATCCCTCTTCAGGGAGTCGAAAGAATCAAATGGGTGGACGAGCTCAAGAGCTCTGTTCAAATGAAGCTCGGGGTCATTTTAGTCCGTCCGGGATCAGTTGAACCCTCTTGCCATAGCTGGGCTGCTTACCCGACTGGATCGCTGTCTGCCTCAGCCATGGTTCAGCTTTAGGCTCCAGAAGGTTCTCTTGGGAAGGGCCAGGAGAGCCAGAAGCCTCGTCCTCTAGGAGATGGGCTATGTCGTTTAGCTCATTCGAGACACCTTTGCCAGATCTCACCAAAGGTGCCCCTGGAACGAACGAACCCATTCTAGAGGCAACAGCTTGACTCAAAGGAGCATTTGGCCCGGAGAAGACTTCAAGGAAGGGACCTGACAATTCGGCATCGGAGAGGGCGGAGGCATAAAACTCGCAGAATCCCGCGGAATACTCCCTTTCGTCCCCAGTTTTGAATTGCAGAACTTTCCCGTCCTTAACCAAAGGCTTCCACTTCAAATGGGAAAGACCGGTACGCGTGCAGCACCTATCGGACTCACACAAAGTATTTACAAAGTGATCCTTGAGGGAAGTAGAGTTGACTATCATTATCTGATACTTCCTGCGGCGGCTGCCACGGAACATACAGTTGCGATAGTACACCACAAAGACACCGGGGAGGTCCATCAGTCTTTTCCAGGCATCCAAATGAAGGGCAATAGAACGCCCAGGGGCCTCTAGGGAGAAGAAATCTCCTCTAGCGTGGATTTCAATGCAATGTTCCGCACTGAGAACGGCAAGCTTCGTATCCACATCCTGGAAAGTTTGGCCAACTCCCATGGGATTCCCTCTGGAAAGGACTCACTTCTAAGTGGACGAGGTGGGTTCTTAACACCTTGTGTTGGAAGCTCACGAGCTCGGGAGAACGTAGCACAATTAGGGGCAAAGTGGGAAAGGCGAGCTTCACGAGTGCTAGCCTCAAACTCCACGCTATCCCGAAAGACGTCCCTACCCCGAAGGAGATCCCAAGGCTCTAGAACCTTACTCACCCGGAGAGAACCCCCTAGTGAAACACGCGGCTCAACCTTTTTGCAAGCGGGCTCTGCAAGAGGTCTGCCGAATCCCTACTTGTCCGCCTTCTGGGCCCCTGCCTTTTTGGCGGCCTCTCTCTTAGCGGCGGCTTTCTCCTTCGCCTCCTTCTTCTTCTCCCTTTCTTTCGGAAATCGGCGGGGAGAGGGCAGAAGGGAAAGTGCTTACTTCCGCACACGAGGCACTTCTTCAGGGCCTTCGGCGGATCGCCAGGGTCCTTGGCTTCCTCCTCAGCGTGATCGGCTTTCCGCTTGGTCCCTCCTCCGTCTTTCCTCTGGGAGACCGCAGTCGGGGCGCGCTCCAAACCCTGGTCGGGCAACGACTCCAACAGGGTCCAGCAATCGCCACAAGGCGATCGTATCATCATCCAGGTGATATCGGATGGCCGTATCCAAGCTGCCGACACTGCGGGACAGCCACTTTAAAATTTCCTCGTGGAGGGCACGGTCGAACCGCCTAACCTCACTCAAGGTCGGGTTCCTCATGCCCACTGGGACCACGGCCCTCATTTTACCTACATACTTGTCGGTGAGGGCACGGTAGGTTTCAAAACCTGCCACTCCCACCATGGCAAAGAAACGCCCGCGGAGGTCCAGGCTCTTCCGCATCATCTCAAGATCGGCCACCTTCTCCCCAGGCGGGGGAACCGTCTCAGAGTCCTTCACCTTCAACTGGTCACCTTCGACCGTGGTCTCCGGCTTGCCCTTCGGCCACTTCCCGGAACGTGCAAGGATGCGTCCTCCATGCTGATGTAGTTCTCCCAGGCCAGGTGCTCGTAGGACGCCCCAGGCGGAACCAGGACCTTCGACACCTTGGTGAGGGTGAAGAGGCTCGGGCGCTCGGTGTCGGAGGCTGGCGCAGGCATGCCATTCCCGACCGCGCTTTTCTCCATCGCCACAGCCGAGGTGAGCTGAGGTCCACCTTCGCCTTTGGCTTGTCCGGCGAGGCGGCGAGCCCTTCAATCTCGGACTTTGCCACCTCGCGGGCGATCGCCCACAGCTTCCTCACCGCGGCGGCGTCCTCGCTGAGGCGGAACTCCTCCCACGATTCCGCAGGAGACCTCCAGAAAACGACGACCTCGCCGTCGTCTTCCAGGAAAGCTGCCCTTGGCAGAACACTTTCCCGGAGGAATCCTTCCAGGTCGTCCGCCTTGGTTATGCGGTATGCCAACTGTTCAAAGGTGGCTATCCTCATGCTTTTCAAGAGCAGGTAGTCACTCTCCGCCACGCCAAACCTCACAGCAGCCTTTTTAAAGGCCACTGGCTGGCTCCCAAGCGTAGACATCGCAAGAGGATCGGCGCTGGCGGGCGGCTTCTCGCTTCAGAGCTTAAAAGGGGCTGCAGCGTTGGAGCGCCCACCATGTCACAAAGCGCGTGACTAGCTCATTCCAGCGGAATCATGCCTACTCACCAAGGTGCAAGACACGCAACTACTCAAACTGCTCAACTCCGGACATTTCTCTGAAAAAGCACATCACGAAGCGTGCATCCTACACTGGTGACCCAGGTTCATGCCTTCCGACTCGCATCTCCGGAAGACTCCGCCGGCGCTGATGCGGTACTGGCACATCCGGGGGCACGGGCCTACGGCTCCAAAGCACCTCACACACAGCTCAGTAGACGCTGAGAAGGCCTCGCCGGCGCTGACCAAGCTGAAGCGCCCCTTGGTGTTGCACTTCGGCACCACCAGGGGGACCAGGAGGTTGAGGTCGCTGCGGGTGCCATTCGGTGCCAGGTGGAGCTTTGAGGCCGCCGTCGGTTCTCCACCCTGTTCTCATCCTCAGGGCTCTCCACCTCCCATTGAGGGAGAGTACCCAGACTCGTCGTCCGAGCCCTCGGCCAGGCAGCTGTTCAGGACGCCCTTGTCGAGCTCGGCAGAGTCGTTCCTCTCAACCTGCTCGGGTCGCGACTGGCACCCTGGAACTCCTGTGCCAAGAACTCGCTGCACAGGCCAAGGGCAGACTCCTCGAAGAGGCTGGGGTCGAACCCGGCCAGCTTGGCTTCCAGCCGCAGCCGGCCGCCATCCACCGCTCCATGGCTCGATTCTACGGCGGGGACAGTGCCAGAGCGCAGGGTGTGCAAACACATCTCCTGCGCCTTCAACACCAACTGAGCTTCCCTCATGTAGGTGTCGGCCATGGACTCCTCCTTCGACCCCCAATCGCCGGCGTCAGAGTGGCCTTTGCACTGTGCCACCTCAGGCTCTGGATCTCCTCAACGGTCATGCCCACTGGGTGTCCAGCTCTAAGTTACTCCAGGAGGGCTGCCCTCACCAGGATAACATCTCCACCAATGGTGGCGGGCATGTTCGTCCAGTTCTCCATGTCCTTTGAAGCCGACTTGCCAGAGTGGTCATCCACCTTCTAGCTGCTTCCATGGGATTCAAGCAGGAGCTTGAGGAGGCAGTCGAGCCACCCATCTCCTTCCTCAGAGGCTCCTTTTGTGCTAGCAATCCAAAGTCTCACTCTGAGGGGCTTCTTCAGCATGTCATCCTTCACCATCTTCTCCAGGGCACGCAAGGTCTCTCCTGGGAAGCTCCTGGCAGGACGCCGCTCGCCCTTCTGGCCCTTGTACCGGAGTGCGAGCCTCTTCGACCTGCTCCACGCCTTTGCATCAATGTCAAACCTGAAGGCTTTCGCAAAGAAATCAACTGCGTAGAGCAGGGAGATCGGCGTGTAGAACCCGGCACCCTTTTGGACCAAGGTCTCCACATACACGACCACAGAGTAGTAGCTCATGAAGCCACCTTCCAGGTCTTTCGATGCGGACTTCTTCGCCCAGACGAGGAGCTCCCCCATCAGGTTCGAGTACCTCAGACCCGTGGCGGCCTTGCTCGGGGAGACGTGCACCCGAAAGCGGGTTTCGTCCAGCTCGCCCGGTTTGCCAACCACCTTTACCGGGTCCATCTCAACTCCGGCCTCGAACAGCTCGCTGAAGTAACCCTGCATAAAGCGCAAGATGCCTTTCTCCTCCTTCTCCCCTATGCTGCCTTCGACCACCGAGGGGATCCCGCCCCGGACTCGGGCAGACAGTCCTCCCTCGGCGACCTTTTCAACCTCAGCATGGGGTGGGGGACGAGCCGCTTTCCGAAGTTGAAAGCCTCGCTGCCGCTGTCATCCTGGACAGTCTCTTCGCGGGCGCCCTTCCACCTCGGAAGTTGCCAGCCACCTTCCTTCTCTGGTGGAGGAGGAGCAGCTTTCAGAGGTGTCCTCGGCACTTGCTGCCTGTCCCCTGGCCCAAGGAGGCAAAACTCCCCCCGAGGCCGAGGCGGCTGCCGACGTCTTCCCCCCTTCGGGCTTCGCCGGCGGAGCGCCCGCCGACTTCTTTGCCCAAGGAGGCAGAGGCCCATCGGTATCACCAATCAGGCTATCCAGGATGGCCTTCTGCTTTTCGACGACCATTGACCACTTCTGTCCTCGTCGTCAAAGAGCTCTCTTTTGACCCCCTCTTCTCCCATCTCTCTCCGGGACGGCTTCGGAGGATCAATGGGCTCGGCTGGGATCCTAAGGTCCTGGAGAACCCTTCTCCCGGTCACGGAGGCTGACATGCTCTCCACCAGGCTATCTCCAGTGTCCTTCAGACCTCGGTCCCGGCCAGGGGAAGGAACTCTTCCTTTATGGAAGGCAGGGAGTGGAGCCAAGTTCCAGTCAACTTGGTCTCCTTCCTTCCCTTTCTTAAGGAGCAGGAGGAAGTCGGTAACCTTGGTGCCCAAGGCCTCGTCCCCCGTTTCCACCAGACGGATATACTCATCTGGCTGGCAGCGGGCTTTCAGCAGGCTGGCGGCCTCGACCCTCGCCGCCCAGCTTCCCACTGCCATGATGCCTTCGGATCCCGAAAGGACGAAGTCCCGCTTTCCTTCGGTATCCGGTAAAGATGCCGCAGGGCCATCGCCGAGCATAGAGGCATCCCCCTCCCCGATCTCCTCCTCGCCGCGGTCGCGGCGGTAAGAAGGACCGGAGGCACTGGATCGCCTGCTCTCGTCTTCGAGGGCATCCTGCTTTCTTTTCCTCAAGGGAGGGTGCTCGGGATTCCGAGCCTCTCCCTCGTCGCGGGCAAGTTCGCTCCCCCTTGGGGGTCGCTTGGCCCTCTTAGCAAAGACCTCGTCCCGAGCCTTTCCCGTCTCCTCCCACCCTCTGGGCGGAAAGGTGGCATCAGCGGACTTATTACCCGCCATCTCACCGATCCCCCTGCTGGTGCTTGGAGAAAAAAGCACAGCTCGTTGTGCAGACGTGTCTCGAGCCAAAATGGCCACAACCGTCTATTTCACACCTAGGACATCCACATAGTACTGTCGCACAAGACGTGTAAATCATCAACCTAGTAACTGCGGGAAGGCTGTAGACTGAGAGGAGCACATCTCGAATGGTTTCAATGGACAGTGCTCCGTATCGCCGGTCATATCGACGGTCCTGGCACAATGATATCTTCTTCAGATTAAGGCATTGAGTTCCGGGTGTGGGGCTCGAATGAGAGCTTCTCAAAATCAAGGCACCAATTCAAACATCGCAGCCTCTTCTGCTGCCGATTTTGCATCCAAAGCTGGTACAGAAAGTTCGAAGGCTTTCTAAAAATAGTTTAGGAGTCGAGGCGTACGTGTATACAGAGGCTGAGAAGCAAGAGGATTTTGTTGTCCGAAAAAACTGTGCAGAGGCTAGCTGCTATCCAACCCAACCGAGGGACGATTCTCGGAAAGAAAAGTTTCACGGAGTAAGGGGCGCCTCTGGCGTGACCTGGGTGTTTTGGTAGGCCTCGTTGTTCTTGCTGCAGTTGTCCTCCGCACGTGGCTCTATCTAAACCGCCTTGCTACAAGGATCCTGATATTCTGAGGCTCTAAGGGAGCCCGCTTATGGCATTGCTACAGCTGAGCTTGGAACGGCCATGTGGTCAAATGACCTGCAGTGACACTCTGTCAAGGAAAATGCAGTTGTACGGCTGGAGGCCAGCTATTGGTGGTGGCGGTAGCAACTCTGAGGAGGAGGAAGAGTGGGAAGAGTGGTGGCAATTTCAATGTCAGTGGAGGTAGCAGTAGTAGACGTGGTGGCTGCCGCTGTGGTAGCAGCAGCCGCAGCAGTAGAAGTAGTTGGATCACTTGCGGCGAAATTGCTTGGCACGGGGCTGATGTGGGCGAGCGTGGTGTCTCCGCCACTTTGTGTTGTGCTCGTTCTGGTGCATCCTGAGTCAAGAACATCTGTGCCGAAAAATACTGCACTAGATGGACCCAATGTCGGTGCCAAGTGAATTAGGTTGGCCAACCCTGACTACAGAAGCAATAAGAATCCTGATGACATCCGTCATAAAGACAGAAATCATCACAGCACTGGCGCGAGTAGCTACTCCTATATCATCCCCTACCCCTTTTCCCCCACCCACCCGATTGCAGGGACCCGAATTAGGATCGATCATTCTTCGGCAATCTCCTTCACTTCAATGATTTGGATGGACACGAATTTCAAGTTTGCTGCACTACCAAAATTCCTGAGGCTTTGGTATGTTGAGTCATGCGAGCTACAATCCTGCAATACAAGATGTAGGATTTTGTCCCTCATCAGCCCATAACTTTAAACCCTCGACCCTGATCTGAATTCTACACCCGTAAACCCTAAACCTCAAGCCTTAAACCCCAAACCCTACACCCTTTCTCACCCTTTCTCGGAAGCAAAACTGGACAGCTCTTGCGTTCCAGCTTCCAGCTAACCCCTATACACCCTAAACCCCACACCTATTGCCCATACCCTAAACCCCAAATCCTATTGCCTACACCCTAAACCCCAAACCCTATTCATAGGGCTCTTGCCCTCCGCGGAGGTTTAGCTGCCACTCGATGCTGGGAGCCGGCCCCGAAGAGTGTCTCACCAGCCCGTTGCACCTTAGACGATGGGGCGGCTTCGGGTGTAGGGTTTAGAGCGGAGGGTTTAAGATTCAAGGCTGCAGGCTTACGGTTTGGGGTTGAGGGTTTGGGGTTCTGAGGGTTTAGGGTTCTGAGGTTTAGCGTTCTTATGTTGGAAGTTTCTCAGAATGATGTTGTAGGGAAATGTATGGTTCAGGGATTTGGACTTAGGTTTAGGGATCGGGGCTCAGGGTATTCAAAGTAGGCATCCCTTGGCAAGCCTGGGATACGTGGAAGTTGCAGTTCTGTAGGGGCACTAGTCAAAAGGTCTCACATCTTCAAGAACCCATACCGCCCTTTCAGTCATGCTTAGGACCCAAGAATCCGACAGGCTTTCCTGAAGCTTCTTGCTCGAGGGAGCATAGGGTAGTACTACATGGAAGTAGCTAGAAGAGATGCGAGATTAGCAACACGCAACGTGATAGCGCCCAGAGTTCGACCGCAAGGATACATGTAGCATGATCACTTTTGTAGTAAATGCAACGGTCATCAGGACATGGAGGCTGAGAAATGCGATAGTCACCTCCTCACAGCAATCGAGGATAGTCTGTTTCCATGATATCTCAGGCCACCTACCACCCTTCATTCCACTGCTACACGCATGGACTACTTGTACAACGGGGTCAGGGGCAAAATATTGGGAGATGAATAATAGTTGCAGAATATGAATCTAAAACAGGAAGGCGCATCAACATGAGATGGACGGGGCTTTCAACCTGGAGAGCAACTTTCCTTGGACCTCATAGCCTCGAGACTCTTGTGCCTCGTGTAAAAACCCGAAGAATGAAGAGCATCGTCCCCTTCTGAGAGTATACCCTAAACCCTATTTGAAATTCTTTCGCCAATTCTTCATGTTGTAATTGCTGGGGATTCATGGGCATCTACGACTGGGGCTTGAAGCACCCTAAATGATGTTCTGCCCATAACCCCACTCAGAACCACTTGCAGCCTAAACCTTAAGCTCTGTGCTGCGGGCGAGGAGCATGTGCGCAGAGTTGGCAAAGTTCTGATACCTGCCCCGCGCCTGGCTCTCTCCATGATACCTGGGCATCCAGCACTTAAGGTTTAGGAGGATTTATGGGGGTGTAAGGTCTAGCAGTATGGACGCTCTGTATGTTGTCCATATAAACATAGGGCTTAAGCACGATAGACGTTCTACAGGGGGGCTCTGTATTCTTATATAATGGTAGTTTTGAGAGATCGCTGAATTCGCGTAGCGGCGGGGTTGCAGTACTTGTAACTGCCTACCGACTCATCCCCTCCCGAAATAGTAAAACCCCTAGCCTCTGTCCTGACATATGCTGGTATTATAGTACGAATGGTTATTTGCAAGGGGTTGGCGACTTCACTACTGGGTAAGGGGATTAACACTCTGGCTGCGAATTGTCAGAAAAGAACTCTTACTGCCTCTTTGAATCTGACATGATGACCACTTGACAGTATGACAATGTGGGGGCATGCAGGGCCCGCGTTACCATCACAGGAGCCCAAAGTTACGAACAATCCGACACGCCCTGAACGCGAGCAAAAGCCTAGACCCCAAACCCTAAGCCCTGTGTAAACCGTCTGCGCGCGCCAAGTCCTGAACCCCAAACCCCAAGCACAAAATCTTAAGCTGCAAACCCCCATCCCGTCACCCTGTGTACAAACTTTGGGTGAACCCCATATCCTAATATATCCCTACGTAGCCCTCCCTCTCTCTCCCCCTGAACCCAAAAATCCTATACCCAGGTATCCCCATATATCCCTAACAGATTGAGTCAAAGGCGGTCCGTCCGGGTGCTCTGGAGCTAAAGGCTCTCGCCTCGTTCGGCCTCAGCATGTGGGATTTAGGGTTTCGGGTTTAGGATCTCAGTATCAGGGTGACCTTGGGGACCTGGAGGTATATGAGCTATAGTCTAAACTCCTAGTATCCCCCTTAATAACCACTATAGTAGTCCCCTACATAATCCCTATATAACCCCCTTTAAGGAGTTTAGACTACAGCTCATCTTGATTCTCAGAAGGAAATGTTTAGAGACTACTTTGTCGCATGATGTGAGCTTCATCCTTTCAGGGTCACGACTTCCGGTTTGAAAAGGGCCGTGGTTCAGGGTTTAGGGTTTCAGGCTTAGGACTTAGGGCTTAGGGCTTGAGAAGGTTCAACAGGACCCTATGCATTGCTGCGTTGTTTCTCTTCTCACAAACACATTTGGCAGTTGATCAAAACTCCGGTTCCCAAAATGGCCAGCAGAGCAACTCTCAACTATCCCAAAGGCCACCCCAAATACCTCCTAAACCCTGAACCCTGAGTCCTGAACCCGAAACCCTGCAGACTAAACCCTAAACCCTAAACCACCCAAAGATCAACCCCACTTGGCTTCCAGCTCTCTATGAGCTCGGAGGTATGCAGGTTTGGTGCGGAGGCTGAAGACTTAACCTGGTGTCGGTCATCCACATGATTGAGGGCTTAGGGTTCAGGATTATATGACCCTAATATATAGCCCATTATAGTAATTTCCATTTTCTTCTCCATGATCCCTATATAACCCCAATCGATACCCCAAATCGAAATCCCTGGAGAGTTTGATTTTCCCCCTTAAGTAGACAGAATATGGCTTTGGGTATACTATCAAAAGATCCCAATATACCCCATATTCTATCTACTTAAGGGGGACTATAAGCTTCCGGGCTTGGTGATTCCTGGGCTTGATAAGGCTGATGGGATTTTGGCTTCACAGGGTACATGGTCTGCGGGGTTTTCAGGCTTTCGAAATTCAGGGTGTGGGGTTTGGAGGTTTGGAGGTTTGGGCTTAGGATCTAGGACCTAGATACGCTTTTCACATCAGGATGTGCCCTGCTCGAATGTCTTGAATGAAGGGGTTCCCGCTGAACCATGAACTGTCCCCCTTTTGTCACAAGAAAAGACTGACCCAAGACCCTGCACCCTAAGCCCTGCACCCTACACCCTGTCTGAGACTAACATGTACAAAGGTTGCCTCTGATGAGTAAGGGTCCATAGACAGCCCATCCCCATAATCCCAATCTAAGCCCTTAGCCTAGAACCCAAACCTCAAACCCTGCCCTAGACCTTGAACCCTCAATCCTAAACCCTATTCCTTGGGCCATTCCCTCTTACAGTAACTGTCCTCAAATGGGCTTCACAAAGGGGCCATTGGAACTCCTATTGCCCACTGTGGTAACAGTTGCTGTAAGTGGGAATGCCCTAAGCTATTCCTTCATTCCCGCCCAAAAGAGGCATGCGGAGAGCTTTGGCCTGCTTTGGTCTCCGTACTTGCCGAAGAGTC